TTGGAGGCCATCACTAGTAGGTTGGAGGCCATCGCTTCTAGGTTGGAAGCCATTGCTAGTAGGTTGGAGGTCATCGCTAGTAGGTTGGAGGTCATCGCTAGTAGGTTGGAGGCCATCGCTAGTAGGTTGGAGGCCATCGCTTCTAGGTTGGAGGCCATTGCCAGTAGGTTGGAGGTCATCGCTAGTAGGTTGGAGGTCATCGCTAGTAGGTTGGAGGCCATCGCTCTTCGATTGGAGGCCATCACTAGTAGGTTGGAGGCCATTGCTAGTAGGTTGGAGGCCATCACTAGTAGGTTGGAGGCCATCACTAGTAGGTTGGAGGCCATCGCTTCTAGGGTGGAGGCCATCGCTAGTAGGTTGGAGGTCATCGCTAGTAGGTTGGAGGTCATCGCTAGTATGTTGGAGGCCATCGCTCTTAGGTTGGAGGCCATCACTAGTAGGTTGGAGGCCATTGCTAGTAGGTTGGAGGCCATCACTAGTAGGTTGGAGGCCATCACGGAGGCCATCACTAGTAGGTTGGAGGCCATCACTAGTAGGTTGGAGGCTATTGCTAGTAGGTTGGAGGCCATCGCTTTTAGGTTGGAGGCCATTGCTATTAGGTTGGAGGCCATCGATCTTAGGTTGGAGGCCATTGCTATTAGGCTGGAGGCCATTGCTATTAGGTTGCAGGCCATCACTAGTAGGTTGGAGGCCATAGCTATTAGGTTGGAGGCCAACGATCTTAGTTTGGAGGCCATTGGTCTTCGGTTGGAGGCCATCACTACTAGGTTGGAGGCCATCCCTCTTAGGTTGGAGGCCGTTGCTCTTAGGTTGGAGGCCATTGCTATTAGGTTGGAGGCCAACGATCTTAGGTTGGAGGCCATTGCTCTTCGGTTGGAGGCCATTGCTATTAGGTTGGAGGCCACTGCTCTTTGGTTGGAGGCAAATCCTCTTAGGTTGGAGGCCATCACTCTTAGGTTGGGGGCCATCACAAGTAGGTTGGAGGCCATCGATCTTAGGTTGGAGGCCATCACTAGTAGGTTGGAGGCCATCGCTCTTAGGTTGGAGGCCATTGCTATTAGGTTGGAGGCCACTGCTCTTGGAGGCCATTGCTAGTAGGTTGGAGGCCATCACTAGTAGGTTGGAGGCCATCACCAGTAGGTTGGAGGCCATCGCTTCTAGGTTGGAGGCCATTGCTAGTAGGTTGGAGGTCATCGCTAGTAGGTTGGAGGTCATGGCTAGTAGGTTGGAGGCCATTGCTAGTTTTGTTGGAAATGTGTCGTGAAAGAGGGTGTATGTTTTCGCGCTTTGCGTCATGTACGGTACACTCATTACGCATCAGTACATCCTTAACCTCTTTGCTCTGCTCTAGCTCTGAGGCTCCGCACCTCTTTGTTGTCTCCTAAGAACTATTTCGAGCTCTACATGCAGGCGGGCGAACAATCAAAGAGACACGAGTGCACTTTTGCTCCGATCTCCTCGCTGGTCAGTTTTGGGACACCGATGGAATTCCAGACAACGCAATAGAATTCCTGTAAGAGCTATGTGCTCTTTCCCGTCCATGAAAAGGTCTAAAGAAAAAGACAGTTCTTAACAAAAGTCTAAAGAAAACAAGAAAAAAAGGCGTCACACATGTGAAGGTCAACAAAAAAAAGGCTTAAACCATGAAACATAATGTCTTTAAAACATGCCTACACAAGAAACAGGTTTAGAGTCTAAACGATAAAAGCATAAACAATAACCTCGGTCTAAAGAACCAACCTGTCTTTTCCCTATCATGCCTGCAAGAAGCATGCTGTTGATACCGTGCAGATTGCTGCCTATGGCTGCTATGCTTCGTTTCTGGCATGACTGCAACTATGAGGGTCCACGCTGGTCCTGATGGTTCAAAATCTTTTTCAGGTCCACGCGCATGCTGGAGACCGCCCCCACTGGTAGTATTTCCCGCACGAATAATTAGGTCGGAGCAATAATGATGTCCAAAGGCGGTTTAAGGAGGCCCAAGATGGGATGGGAAGATTGTAGAAATCCAATCCTTATGAACAAGAAGCTACTAGGGGCTCCTGGCATCGCTACTAGGAACAAGGACGCTACTAGGGGCTTCTGGCCTTACTGCTAGGAGCAAGAAGCTATTAGGAATAATCCCATTACGTTGTGGCCGCGCTTCGGCTCAACTTTACGCCAGTTTGGACCCTCTACACGCTTCGCACCCTAGTAGCGTTGGCCTCCAACCCAATAGTGATGGCCTCCATAGTAATGAGGGTAACACACTCAAATGAGAAGTGCACCATCGAACCCCTTCGTTTGAGAAACGCTTTGCATTAGCAACAATCAGCCCTTAATGTGCTTAGCAAACACGCATGAGATGTATGTGGAGATATTTAATTTTACATTCCTACGCCGCTTCCAAACACATCCAAGCTGCTCCCCATCGCATGTTCCACTGCAGCTGCCAATGACCAGTGCATGTGTGGCGGGCAGTGTTTGTGCTTGACAAGAACACGTCACGAAAGGAATTATGATGTGATTGGGCGTTGCCGGTGTCAAAGCATCCATCAGGTCTTCAACGAAATGCAGCATCTCTCGGGATTTTTTGGCGACAAGAACCGCCACAAGAAGAAGATGATCGATCTTTACGAATCCGTACCTCGGTTAAAGTTAAAGCTAAAGTGCGAAAGCGATAGACTTTGAAGGTAACCGATGGCCTCCACCTAGTAGCTTATTCCTAAAGCGAACAGCTTCTTCGTCTGAAAGTTTTTGTTTTGGTGGATTTCTGAGGTGCAGCATGCTGGCAATATTTTGCCCCGGCTCTACTTGCTGGCTACAGTGGCAGCTGCATATATCAAATCCCTAGAGGCTCCGGCCAAAGAGATCCTGAAAGATGTGAACGAACTCTGCAAAGGTGTGTGGTTCCTAGAAGTCTGTGGCGTAGTGAGAATTGAGAGCCGCTGTCAGACCATGAGCTCGTTTGCAAGTCCAACCAACTAGGTTCAGCATCCTCTCCGTGGTCTTTTCCTTCGTTACTATTTGTCACAAATGCTCAAGGACAGTCGCACGGCAATTGCACGGCAGCAAGTGACCCAACTTGGTCAGGACAAGCTGCCAGATACAGGCTCTGGCTTCGAGGGGGAAGGCGGTGACATCAACGATGCCTTTGATTTTATTTTCACGAACTTCAATGAAAGCAATCGGCTTTGGGTGCGATGCTTAGCACTTGCTTGAACCGGTGGGGAGGGTTGGGGAGGGTTCCGAGTCTCCGCCTTGTGTTCACCGTGAGGTCCGCATCCAGAACCAGGGGCCTGCAAGGCGCTTTGAAGAAAAGTGGACTTGAACAGACTAAGATCAGATCACAAACATGCTAGCGATGGCCACCAACCTCACAAACACATGCCATATGCCATATGCACTGGCTGCGACCAATCCGGCCAGGGAGAAAGATCGTCGAGAAAGGGAGCGACACGACCTACGTGTTCTTGTGGGAGCCAACCTGGTTCGCCTGAGTCAGCTAGATGGCCAGGAACCTACAGCGATGACCATCAATAGCATGCAGACAAGTCGAGCGGGTATACTAGCCACACTAGGTTGGAGGCCATCGCTACTAGGGTGGAGGCGTCGCTAGCAGGTTGGAGGCCATTGCTAGTAGGCTGCGGGCCATCGTTATTAAGATCTGGATCGTGTGGTGCACCCGCACCAGCTCCGCATCACC